GTTGTGAGGTGTTATCTCATTGTGGTGTTTTTGTTTTGTTAAATATAAGTTTTTATTATTTTCAGAGAGAAAGGGAGAGGGAGAGAGAGATAGAAACATCAATGACAGAGAATCATTGATTGGCTGCCTCCCACTTGCTCCCCATTAGAGATTAAACCCATAACCCTAGCATGTGCCCTGACTGGGAATTGACCTCCTGGTTCACAAGTTCACAGGTCAACCACTGAGCCATGCCATTTGGACTCATTGTGGTTTTAATTTGCATTTCTCTGATTATTAGTGATATTGAGCATCTTCTTATATGTCTATTTGCCTTTTATATGTCCTCTTTGGACATACAGGTCTACTCAGATTCTTTGTCCATTTTGTAATTGGGTTGTCTTCTTGGTGTTGAGTTTTATAAGTTCCTCATAATTTTTGGATATTAAGCCCTTATCAGATGTATCATTTGTGAATATATTCTCTCATTCTTTTGTTTTTCATGCCCAAGAGGATATATCAGAAAAAATATTGTTTCATGAAATGTCCAAGGTTTTACTGCCTATGTTTTCTTCTATAACTTTTATGGTTTTGAGTCTAACATTTCAGTTTCTAATCCACTTTTTTATTCTTGTGTATGGTGTAAGAAAGTGGTTTAGTTTTTTTTTTTTTTTTTTTTTTTTTTTTTTTGCATAAATCTATCCAATATTCCCAACACCATTTATTGCATAGACTAACTTCACCCTGTTGTATATTTTTGCCTTCTTTTGAATTGATTGGATATAAAGGCATGGTTTTATTTCTGGGCTGTTTTGTTCCTTTTAATACTGTTTTTATTAACCTAGTTACTAATAACAGGAAAGGAGCAAAGGGAAGGCCAAATATTATAAGCATGTCATTTGGGCAGTTTCACTAGGAAGGTAAAACTTCATACTATCCAAGGAGCCACTAGTTTATTCCTGCAGATTGCTGGGGGAAGATTCTGGACAGGATGGAGAATAGATGCATGCCCAGTAAAGTTGGGATGACTTAAGGAAGGTACTTTGCTGTCAGTCACACCTGGAGACATGTCATTGGCTAAAATGTGCACAGCCATTACAAGGGTGCAAAATATGGAATATCTAATGCCCTAACTAGGGGTGTCGAATTCAATCAGAGAAGGGGCCAAAATCTAAAATCCAGCCTAAATCGCGGGCCGAATGGTTTACTGAACAGTCATAAACTGTCATTGTGATGGAAATGCAGCAGAGTGCAGTGATGACAGCGCGGTGCGGGCCACATTGCAAGGCCTGGCGGGATGGATTTGGCCTGCGGGCCTTGTGTTTGACACATGTTAAACTAAGGATTTCATGCTCTTGGTTCATTTTATGCTTTTAGGACCCATTGCTAGGGTCACTCTCTCCTGTATTAGTCCACACACAATGGACAAATGGAGTGATGCTAGCCTGATGCTGAACTGGACCAGGTTCCAACATGGAAAGAAAACTCTGGACACTGTCTTTGCTTCTAGCTTTACTGAAACTCCAGCTATACTTCTTCTATTATATAACTGGACTAAGGGAAATGGGACTTTGAAAACCAAGAAATGTAATTTCGTGGAAATAAAGCTTTCCAACTATATCTCATCCTCCTATAGAAACATCTGGAAATACTTTTTTCAATGGTACCCCTAAACTCTACTCCCACTCTCAATGGAGAGACTACTCATACTTTTCCCTGATAACACTTAGATCTGTATGTCTGTTTTAGGCCAGTTCCATGCTCTTTTGATTACTATGGCCTTTTAGTTTATTTTGATACCATATAGCCTTCAACTTTATTTTTTCTCAAAATTGCTGATCTAAGAATACTGTTGTTGGAATCTATGATCAGTGTTGATCAGGAAGGTCCAACTAAGCCTAGGAATTGTTGATTACAGACTCCTTATATTCTCAATACTTATGGAAAAGATTGGGCCTAGATTTTAGGGGTAGGACAAGGAGAAAATTAAGGTTTAATGGAGCCTAACATTTATATTATATTAAAGATTCTTTTTTAAAAATATATATATTTTTATTGATTTCAGAGAGGGAGGGAGAGATAGAAACATCAATGATGAGAGAAATCATTGATTGGCTGCCTCCTGCATTGTCCTCCCCTATGATCGAGCCTGCAACCCAGGCATGTGCTCCTGAGCAGAATTGAACATGGAACCCTTCAGTCCTCAGGCCGATGCTCTATCTATTGAGCCAAACTAGCCAGAGCTATTAAAGATTCTTTAAGGAAAAAAAAAAAAAAAAAGAACCCTGGCAAGCGTGGCTCAGTAGTTAGGGTGTTAGCCATTGGACCAAAGGGTCATGGATGGATTCCTTGTCAAAGGCACATACCTGGGTTGCAGGTTTGATACCCACCTCTGGGTTGGTTGGGGCAGATGTGTGAGGCAACCAATTACTGTGTGTCTCAGATCCATGTTTCTCTTTCTCCTCTTTCTCCCCTTCCACTCTCACTAAAAATCAATGGAAAAAATACCCTCACTCCTTGGGTGAGGAGTAAAAAAAAAAAAAAAAAATACTTAGTTACCAATATATAACAAAAAAGTGAGTACTTCTGTAAAATAAGAGAAGAAATCAATAATTTACTATATATATATATATATATATATATATATATATATATATATATATATATATATATTAATCCTCATCCAGGATATTTTTCCTGGGAGAGAGAGAGAAACATCAATGTGAAACATACATATTCATTGGCTGTCTCCCACACGTGGAAACATACAACCAAGCAACATGCCTTTGATGGGGAATTGAATCCATGACTCAGTGGTCCCTAACCACTGAGAAAACTGACCAGGGCTCAGTAATTGTTCTTGATTGCAAACTGGCTTTCTTACCAACCTCAAATATAATATAACTATTGGCTCAGTGCATGAAATTCATGCAGATTAAAAGGGGATTAGCCAAAACCGGTTTGGCTCAGTGGATAGAGCGTCGGCCTGCAGACTGAAAGGTCCCAGGTTTGATTCTGGTCAAGGGCATGTACCTTGGTTGTGGGCACATTCCCAGTAGGAGGTGTGCAAGAGGCAGCTGATCGATTGTTCTCTCTCATTGATGTTTCTAACACTCTATCCCTCTCTCTTCCTCTCTGTAGAAAATCAATAAAATATATTTTAAAAAATAAAATAAACAAAAGGGTATTAATTAGAGGAAATATTTTAATGTTGCTATTTGCCCTTTTTCCATAATAGAAGTGTCAGAGATGAAAGAAAATTAGTAAAATGTATATAAAATCTTCCTCCTGTCAGAGTCTGGGGCATGCCACAGACCCAGATTCAAGTCCTCGCTCTCTGTGGTGCCTAAAAATCACGTGAGACCCAGACCCAGTTGGTCCCACCCCTACTGGGTGAGATCCATACCCGGCTGGCCCCACCTTTGTCAAGTCCCACCAAGTGGGGGGTGCAGCTTCAAGTCCCTTGTCAAGCCCCACCAGGTCTAGGGTGCAGCCTCAGGGCTCCCGTCATGTCCCGCTGGGTAGGTGTTGCAGCCTCAGGTCCCCTAGCCTGGTGCCAGGATGGGGGCATGGCCTGAGGTTCTTTGACCAGGGCAGGCGGTGTGGCCTGAAGTCCCTTGGCCTGCTGTGTAGCGGGAGCAGCCTCAGGTCCCCTGTCAAGCACCCCTGGGTAGGGGTATGGCCTCAAGGTCCCCCAGCCTGGTATTGGACAGGGGCCACAGCCTCAGGTCCCCCGGCCCAACACTGGGGCACCAGGCATGATCTTAGGTCCCCTGGCCTGATGCCAGGGCGTGGGGTGTGGCCTGAGGTCCCCCCTCAAGCCTGCTAAGCAGAGGGTGCAGCCTCAGGTCTCCTGCCCTGGCCCAGCACCATGAAGCTTCAGGTGCTGATTGCTCATTAAGGCTTTTTATGGGAACTCGACCTCAGCTGTGGGTGCAGCCGTATTTGTGATGGTGTGATGGTCAATTTGCATATTCCCTCTTTATTAGATAGGAGGATTCCCAGATACTCTCAACATTGCAAGTGAGGGGAAATGACAAACTTTCTCAGCTTCAGCGAAAATCTGCCTCTGGGTAGAGATTATTCCAGACAAAGGAGTTAATAGTCCTCAGAAGTAGAATGAGGGATCATAAGGATAGAGAGCCATTAAAAAAAATCATTAGAAATTACTCTACAAAGCCATTGTAATCTGGCACATGCATATAGATCAATTGAACAGAATAGAGACCCCAGAAATCAACCCAAGCCATTATTCATATATATATATATATATATATATATATATATATATATATATATATACACAATATATATATATATATATGTACACACACATATATATAAATTTTCACCTTAGGCTATTTTTTTCCCATTGCTTTTCTGAGAGAGTGGAAAGGGTAGGGGAGACAGAGAGAGATGAGAGAGAAACATCAATGTGAAAGACACATCTTACTGGTTGCCTCCTGAACACAGCCTGACTTGGGGGCTGGGAGTGAGCTGGCAACTCAGGTATTTGACCTGGAACTGAACCAGCCCCCCTTTGATGTACAGGGTGACTTTCTAATCAGTGAGCCACACAGACAGGGCTATGCTCAATTAATATTTGACAAAAATAATTAGAAATTACCGTTGAACAAAACATTTTTAATATTATATTGTGGTTAATCATAATTACTGTCATATTGGTGGCCCTTATGCTGAGAAATATATCATAACTTGGAATTTAAGTAAAATATATTTGGAAACTAAATGCAGAAACCACAAATTTCTGCTGTCGAACTTTTAGGGTGACTCATGGCCTAGACAGCTCTGGCCAAATTAGTGCAACTAGTCACAAAACATCTGTTAGGATCATCTTTGGAAAACTGTTTGTACTCTGGCTCTCCTCACAATCCTGACCTGCTCTTCTGACTTTGAATGTGACTGAATTTAGTTTTACAACTGACATAAATTTTTTTGCTTTGTACAAGGATTTCACAATTCATATCTTCCTGGGGAGTGTGGATGACAAAGGGCTTCTTGTGCTTGTTTTAGCAGTACAGATATTAAAGTTGGAATGAAACAGAGAAGATTAGCATGACCCCTGCACAAGAATGACATGAAAATTTGTGAAGTGGTCCATATTTTTAAAAAAGAAAAGAAAAAAGGGATAGTATGGAAAATAATTTCACAGTGAAATCTGATCATAAATTCCTAACTGGGTAGGTCACAGTGGGTGGTCACTCCCCAGATATATAACGTCTTTCTTTTTCTTTTTTCTTTTCTTCTTTTCAGGCAGCTGTAGTCCCCTATTCAATCTTGGCACCCACAAAGACAGACAACACACATCTGTTTGTTCAAGGTGTGTCAGTGGATGCGAATAACTTTAGTAAAAGGTTTATCTTTACATAAAGCAAGCCCTGTCCATTGTTTCTGTGAATCTGTGTTAGCAAACCTTTGAAACAAGCCATAAATACCCTTAAGAGAGAGCATAATCTTAACCAGTCTATAATCCATTCTCCACATAGCTTTTTGCCATTCTTCCATCTTCCATCTTCCTTTCATCCCCTCCTTAGTAGTAAATGTATAAAAGAAGCTGCAAAACTGTCATTCTAGGGAGAATTTGAGATCTAGTTCCCCAGCATATGTTGTCAGCTTGGCTCAAATAAACTTATAAAAATTCTTTACAGGTTTGGAAGTTACTTATGTCAACAGGAGGATTCTGTACAGTCATGCTCAGATGACTAAAACATACAATGGGGGTTAATAAAATGGTATTTTGGCTGAAAGTGCTGCATGAGAACCAGAGTTTGTAAATAAAGAATTATTGTGTTTTCCTGAAGACAATAGAAAGAAGAAGAGTAAAAAACTTCAGAAGTGCTCTAGCCAGTTTTGCTCAGTGGATAGAGCGTCTGCCAGGTTTCAAGGTTTCATGCCAGTCAAGGGCATTTACTTGGGTTGCAGGCTTGATTTCTGGCCATGGGCCCTGGTCCAGGTGTGTGTGAGGCAACCAATTAATGTGTCTCTCTTACATCTATGTTTTTCTCTCTCTGTCTCTCCCCATCCCTTCCACTCTCTATAAAAGTCAATGGAACAATATCCTCCAGTGAGGCTTAACAACAACAAAAAAGTCTCTCTGTTACACACACTGTGATAAAAACAAAATTTTAAAGTGTTGTTGATATAGCCGAAACCGGTTTGACTCAGGGGTAGAGCGTCGTTCTGCGGACTGAAAGGTCCCGGGTTCGATTCCGGTCAAAGGCATGTACCTGGGTTGCGGGCACATCCCCAGTAGGGAGTGTGCAAGAGGCAGCTGGTCGATGTTTCTCTCTCATCGACGTTTCTAGCTCTCTATCTCTCTCCCTTCCTCTCTGTAAAAAATCAATAAAATATATTAAAAAAATAAAAATAAAAAATAAAGTGTTGGTACAGTATTGTTTTCTAAAGACACAATGCTGTAATAGCAGATGTAAAACGCATTGAACCTGCGTAAAGGACATTTTTTACCTTTATACAGGCTGATTAGAAACTCTCTTCTACCTCCTTCCCCCAACCACTAGCAACCACCATTCAATTCTTTTGTTTTTACGAGTTTGACTACTTTAATTTTAAAAAATGATTTTAGAGAGAGAGGGGGCAGAAGAGAGAGAGATAGATGGATCGAACCTACCACCTGGGTATGTGCCCTGACCGGGAATTGAACCTGCCACCTTCTAGTGAATGGACAATGCTCCAACTAACTGCACCACACTGGCCAGGACAAGTTTGACTATTTAGATATAAATAGAATCATGCAGTATTTGTTCATCTGTGACTGGCTTATTTTACTTAGCCTAATGTCCTCAAGGTTAGAGATGTTACCAGGCTCTATTCTAATCACACTTTTTGCTGTTTACCCCTCCCCTCCTTTTACCACTCAGGCTTAATCTTCTGCTAATTTCATAGCCACTGGACTCCTGCTCATTGTTCCCTTGCCCAGCTCTAACACTCTAGATATGTTCTGGCCCCAGAAACCATTTCTTTCCCCCACTGCTTTTAGGTGATGCATAAGCATTGCCTTAGTGAGGACTTTTAAAGTTTCAGCATATTCTCTCCTACTTGGTTCTTTCTAGTTAATGTCCCTGACTTATTTTCTATCTATCACTTCCACTATTGTATGTTTACTAGAGGCCCGGTGGACAAAATTCATGCACTGCTGGGGTCCCTCTGGGTGGCCTGCAAGGGGATGGGCCCAAACCCTCAGTTTAACACTGCCTGCAGCTCCTACCTGATGCTGCCCCTCATCCTGGCCCCACTGTGCCTGCCATAGGCTCCTGCCCAATCAGTCCCGATTGGGAGAGGCTTGAGCTGCAACATCAGTGTTCACCAGCCACAAGACCTGCATCTGCTACCCTCCTAAGGGGAGTGGCCTGTGGGATCTGGCTGAAACTAGCTCTCTGACATCCCCCAAGGGGTTCCAGATTGCGAGAGAGCCCAAGCAGGCTGAAGCACCTCACCAGTGAATGATCTGATTGGGGAGGGACTGCAGGAAGGCTCCAGGGTGTGTCCAGCCCATCTTGCTTGGTCCTGATCAGCCAGAACACAACAACCCCCTGATGGTCAGTGCACGTCATAGGGAGTGGTTGAGCAGCCTTAGCATATCATTAGCATGCAGTGATTGGTTGTTCAGTTGTTCTGCCGTTTGGTCAATTTGCATATTACCCTTTTATTATATAGGATCTCTTTAATTATACAAGAGTAAAATCTCTATAAAAACAGTGATTTAAATATATATATATATATATATATATATATATATATATATTTATCTTAACAGCATCTAGAACAATGTCTGAAATATAGTAGGCATGCAGGTACATTATGTTTTTTTAATCAATGAATGAATATATGCTATTATAAGCCAGTTGTTTAGTACACAATGCTGAAAAAAATTGAATCCTGCCCTCTGCCAATAAACAAACTAATAAAAATATGTAAAAAATGAGAGAGGTTTGTTTAAAGAGTAAGCATGGAACAAGGGGTAGGGTGAGATACTCAAGTTGGGCTTCCTACAGGAGGTAGCACCTGAGCCTGATGAAGTTAGCCTAATGAAGGGAGAAGGAGAATTTTAGAGAAGAGTTGTTTTTTTTTTTAGATAGAGAGATAACATGAACAAGAGCAAGCTCTAGTCACCTACGGTTGAATATTTAATAATGCATCAATTACTAGCTAACTTCCCTTTCCTGTATCACTTTGTCTTCAACTATCCCTTTTCCTTCAAATTCTCAACAAACTGCTGGTCATTAAATCTTGGTTCATGGTTGGCCTTTGGAAGAACCCAAAGGAAGACAGTGATTCTTACCCAAACTCTAGAGAAAAAAAATTGGCAAGTCTTTGGGAGATAATAAAGCAAACCAGATTGGCTGGATATAGGATTTGAGGTGATTATATTTGATAGCAAAGGAACTTGAATTCTAGGTTAAGGGATTTGTTTGAATTGTTTCCAAATTCTTTATGAAATCTTTGAATTTGGGGATGAGGTAATCAAAATGATATCTGAGTCTGGCATCTAATGGTATAATACTGGAGGCAAGGAGAATCTACAGGGAGGAAACAATTCCAACAGCATAGTTAGGGTATTCAGAAATGCATTAGTGAGGTGGCAGTGAGCATGGAAAGGAACAGATGAAGATAAATCGTGAAAGAAAAAAATGACAAGATTTGTTGTCAAGCTGTGTGTACTGCAGGGTTTTGTGTTTTGCAGGACCATGTAAGTTAGAGAGCAGAATTGTTATTAATAGAGATGAGGAAACTGTGAGTAGTATCTGGATTTGATGAGTTAAAGACATTTGCACTTTGTGCCAGTGGAATGTTCAAGTAGAGATGTTCAGCAGACAGCGGAAAATACAAGAAGGCAGGAAGGATTTTGTTTCAGAATTGGGGCTCTTTCAGATAGTGATACATGTGTCTGGCTATTTTGAAAAACCCCAAAGAAACACTTGCTTTATACAATTATTATAGTCTTCACATCGTGACTCTCAATAGAGAAGGGTGAATGTCATGGTAACCTGCAATGCTTGGCAGACTTTGTAGTAGAAGCATGCACACGCTGTTATGTGGAGACTGTAATTGTGCATGAGAATATGAGGGCATGAGGGAAGGCAAAAGCTAGGTTTTAACCATGCAAGTTCTTGAAGATATTGGACAATAGGAAAGCAAGAAATCAAATTCAAGGAGTTTGACAGAATCTGACCCAGTACACAAGTTAGGAGTCTGAGATGTGGCCAAAAGACCAGCCATTCATAGTAGAGAATTCAGACACAGAGGATTAATGCTATTTGCTTTCTGCCTAGTTTTTAAATAATGTTTTTATTGATTTCATAAGAGGGAGGGTGAAGGAGAGATAGAAACATCGATGAGAAAGAATCATTGATCTGTTGCTTCCTGCATGCCCCATATCGAAGATCGAGCCTATAAACCCTGCATGTGCCCTGACTGGGATTTGAACCGTGACCTCCTGGTTCATAGATTGACACTCAACCACTGACCCACACTAGTCAGGTTCTGCCTAGTTTTATAGAATGGCACTGGCCACACACTGAAGGTTATTAAGGAATCCATCTCTTACCTCCCCCCCCCCCCCCCCCCCGTTCTAAATAAAGTTAATTTGATTCTCACAGGTCACACTTTCCATTTCTTTACTTGTTACTCTTCTCTGAACTCTCTCCAATTTTTCTTTTAAAAAACTGAGACCAAACCTTTAAAGCACTGTAACAACTGGCTTAGTTCTGGGCACAGGAAATTATTCTTTTCTAAAATGTCACACCCCAGACAACATTTCTTTGCAGGTTTTTCCACCTGTTTTTATTTGATTGATGGGCGAGGGAGAGGGAGAGGGAGAGGGAGGGGGAGGGGGAGGGGGAGGGGGAGGGGGAAGGGGAGGGGGAAGGGGAGGGGGAGGGGGAGGGGGAGGGGGAGGGAGAGGGGGAGGGGGAGGGGAGGGGAGGGGGAGGGGGAGGGGGAGGGGGAGGGAGAGGGGAGGGGAGGGAGAGGGAGAGGGAGAGGGAGAGGGAGAGGGAGAGGGAGAGGGAGAGGGAGAGGGAGAGGGAGAGGGAGAGGGAGAGGGAGAGGGAGAGGGAGATTTGTTGTTCCACTTATATATGCATTCAT